ACGCATTTAACAAGACCTATAATTCATAAGGCTTCTTAAAATAGGTAGATCATTTGAAAACTCTTGGGTTTGACAGTCCGTCAGATCAGACAGAGAAGAATGATCCCAACCCTTGACCTGAAAACAGGTCATCAGAATGGCTCGTCAGGATGCCGGAAGAATACACTGAAAAATGGCAAATGATCAGAGTGGCTTTCCTCTACTCCCACTTCCACAAACATCCTGAGTCACCTACCAAACAAAACTCCATTACTTTAGAGGAATCTCCTTCTGCATTCTAAAAAATACACAAACGAGTGGGAAGAAATGCAGAGGCAATTGTGTGAAGATCCCGTCTTTAAAAGCAGTGTTTTATTAAAAAAATAAGTAAGTGCGGAGTCTGGTGCTAAAAGCTGCTTAAATAAGACAATCAGAAGGATTTAAGAAAGAAAGAACACCAACAAAATGTTACTTTCTTACAATCAGTCCAAAAAGTAAAACTAAATTCAGACTAATTACACAAAGAGCGAGATATGTCAAGTTTTCATTTCTTTTCATTTTGATGATTATTGCATAGTAGTAATAAAAACTAGTTTCCTGGGAAATTTTATTGTAGAAATGTTGCCTGAATTTTGGCTGTCATTAGCTGTTAGCTAATGTTACATTTACTCAAATTAACAGTGACATTTACAAAGGAGAGGTACATGTGACAAACTTTGCAATGGATGAGCTGATTGCTTTGGCCAGTGAGGCTGTTTAAAAACATCTTATTTGGACTCCCGTAGCACTGCAGCACTAACCAGTTCTAGGTCAGAATGCACAAATCAAATCTCCGGAAATTAATCTGCACATAGGGAGGGCATCTCTATGGACAAACCTATATATGAAGAAGTTTAGATAAATATGGATGTAACGGCTACTCACAGAAAGCCTCAGCTCACCCACACTCATACAGCTCACATAAATCCCTCACCACCATCACTTCCGGTGAGTTCTTAAGTCTTAAAAGGAACACTATTCATGTTGCACACACACACACACACACACACACACACACACACAGACTCAGACACTAGATAATTCGTTAAATCCATTTCCCCCACAGTTCACAATATTCATTTCAAAAATATCTCACTCACATAGGACTGAGGATTATTTTTAGCAAGCTCATGTTTCACAGCCAACTAAATTTGGATCCGGCACAACACAGAGCAGTGAGAATTTTTAGAACAAGGACCTAAAAATAGCTCTAAATCACTGACGCTGTGGGAATCCTCCATGTGTTTATACCAGAGTGTAAGAATTCTCTATGAAATACCAGTGAAAAAGGCAGCATGAACAACACTTTATCTTCAGCAGCAACAACACCTTCTGCATTTAACCACACAAGTCAGAAAATACATTGTAACTTCAAGAATCCCACACAATTAAATACATAAAGGTGTTTCTGGACATTTGTGGGGTAAAAATATATTGCTACTTATAATATCACACCTGCATCATATTGGACAGACATGAAATTGGAATATTAGAAATAGAGCCTTGCGTCCCTTTAGACTGTGATTAATCTACTCATTCTTCATGTTCATGCATCACCACCGCAGCTCCAACAGACTAGTGGCAGCAGGAATTAGCAAACACCTGGTGGAACTCTGCGTCTGCTGAGCTAAACTACAAAGCTCTTCAAAATGATTATAAACAGCTTTATGGAGAAGCTCTGTTGTGATTATGTGCTGAATGGGGAGCGTCAGCTGGGGTTCAAGCTTCTTAAAGAGACAGAGGCAATTTCAAGGCGTCAGATACAGCTATGACACAAAGTCAAATATCTTTTAAGTTATTTTTGACAGCACTCTCGTGCTAAAAAAGCAGTTATGTGGTTTTATAAAATATAAAATGGCACCATCTGCCTGGAAGCTTGTCAGGTCCCAAGCTTGTCAGGCTAGAACCACCACCTGGATAAGTTCTTAAACTCTTGGAGTAACGTTGGTAGGTTGGCCAGTCATTGGAATGTTCATCGCAAATATCCTTTCTTTTGATGGTTATGACATTTAATGTGTTTCTCTGATGTTCCCAAATTTTTACAGTTAGCTAATTCCGATCAGATTGATGTTTCACATCTGTTTGGCCGCACATTTCTGTAGACATTCAGATTTTCTCCTGACTTAGTTTAAACAAATGCTCTCAAATTCGACCAGTTAGATTTCTGAGAACTCTGGAGGTCAAGTTAAAAAAACATCAGATTAATCATCTCAGTTTTTTGAGTCATTCCTTCACATATTTTTTTAAACTGAGTAATTGCTGCCCAACAAGCGTGACAGGACTGCAAACATGGCTTTCTTGGACAAGATACTAATTGCCCGAGAAAAAGCCACATAAATTTAACTTTACATATTTCTCCAAAAATAAAGCCGTTTTTAACTCATCCTAACTCCCAATAGTCATATAGTTATGGGTGGGGAGCGGATTTGCCCAGTCATGGCCATATGTCCAATACCCAGAACCTCGACCCTGAAAAAATTACTTTAGGGGGTTTTCTCAGCTCCAAACAGGAAACAGATCAGAATCGTTCCCAGGCTGAATTCCCAAGTAAAGTAAACCCAAAACTGAAACCTCATTCTTATTTCATCACGTAATTCCTTTAAAACTTCGGTGTTTTCTTTTTCCAAAAGGAAGTTCATTACAAGATGATGGACAACTTCTTCTTGAACTCACTCTTTTTCTCCACTCTAATGTTCAAAAGATTTTCTCAAATGATTTGTACATCCAATATCTACAGTGATGTTGGAATGATGTCTTTCACATTTCTTCAATTTCTTAAATTAAAAGAGAGTCTCTTCTTTTCTAACAAATATTTATGCATGCTTGGGCCTAAGGTGTACCTCCATGTGAGCGATCACATGTACCAGCACCTGTTCTGTTCAAGTTACAAAACAAAAAACTCAGAGTTTTCCACATTCATTGAATCCAACTAAAATTATTCTGATAAGGTACAGCCTGTTCTCTAGTAGTTTGATTCAATTCTCTCCAGACTTACAAAGCCTAAATTATTCATCAGACTGTTAATGGACAAACAAATGATTAATACTATCCAGCTGAAGAGAGTTTTACTGTGCATGGAAATAAACCTGAAGAAACGGACTAATGTGTATACACTGTCGGTAAAGCATAAAAACTCGTGCAAAGCAGGAACACAACATGTGCCTGACTGGAAACATTTCAAATTAAACTTAAGAGATAATTTTAAGAATTATCTTTTTACTAGATAATATAAAACAGAAGCATATAAGACATCTGCTTAGCTGTCAAAAATTCTAAACAATTTTTTCTATGACACCCACAACACAAATGATTCTATTTAAACAACGAATAAAAGTGAGTTTTCCTCAAGTATCATTTTGGAAACATACATATATATAAGCCGCACCGGGCTATAAACCGCTGGTATCTCCGCCGCTCTCGGTTTTCCAACTTAATAAATCTCCTATTAAGGACGCAGCCCTCCATCTCCAATGGCGAATCATAGATTCGTTCACACCGAGTTTACGTGCAGCGGCTATCATCTGTACTACCAGATCGATAGCCTTCAACTTAAAAGTTGCATCATATGAACTTCTTGGTGTGGTTTCCGTGAGGAGGAGTATGAGTTTGTTGAAAACATTTCTCCGTCGTGCATGCTGCTAGCATGTACTTGTTCTAAATGAAAATTATCACTTTCTTCTTTAATTTCCTATTTTGACTTCCAATGATTCACTTCCTGCTAAAGAGCCCCCTGGTGGTTGAAGAAAAATATACAGAAAAGCCGCACCAGGTTATAAGTCACATGGTTCAACGCATAGGAAAAAAGTAGCGTCTTATAGTCCGAAAACTGCGGTATATAGTGCATTTTCTGTAACAAAGCAATACAAAGTGCTTTGCATGAATTAAAAGGAAATACATATACTTTAACTTTAACTGTAAAATACTTTACAGTTAATTGGAAATAAAGGATAGTAGTGTGCATGAAAGATTTGATGAGGATTCTTTACAAGGGACCAACTTTTTTCCAATCTCATTGATCTGCACACATGAAAGACATTAACTTTTGTTACCAGGAAAAATAATTCCCTCTTTCCCAATTTGTTGCTGGGAAAAAGGATATTTTACCCACGGTTTCATCATTTATGAGAATCTTACTCGAACCTTAAAATACACAGTCCACCCTGGTGTGGGAAGTGCACAGTTTACAGTAATAGCAAGCAAAATGCCGGAATTACTTTTAGTTTCAACTTCCACAGCTACTGTCTGTTTGTTTGCATTTCCTTTTAATTCCTGTACAGCACTTTGTATTACTTTGTTGCTGAAAATGTGCTATATAAATACAATTACCTTTACTCACACATTTGCTTTAATGTACAGTTGTACTTTTGAAAGTTTCAGTCACTTTGTCCTAAAATAAAGAATTTCAGTAAACTACTTGTCAATAACATTTTTCTAGATTAAACGTGTTAGATTTTTTTTATATAATTAACCAAGTCCCTTAGTTTCAAGATATTCTGCTGATTAAGCAAGCTATCAGTATGTTAACATGTACTTCATAAAATATTCTCATAGTTTTCTTTAACTTTTCGCCTTGTACAATCTTTTATAAACTTCATTATTCTAAGCCAAATTTAAAGTTGCTAACTGAACAAAAAAAACACTTCCTGTCTCTTCCCTAGCAACTTATTATACTAGAACAGTTGGATTATTGCAGAAACAAAGGAAATTGCACAACTGAAGCATTAATCATGGTCCAGTTGATGATCGACCTTCTATTTGGAACCCATAGGCATGTTGCCATGGTGACACAGCTTCTACACGATTTTGGAATTTTCCAAAACTTTGTACATTTTCAACAAAACAAAACTTTTTTCATACACTCACTTGAGCTTAGTTAGCATTGCCCCTTGTAAACTAAGCCGGACATAATCTACAACTTTCCATTGTGAAAAGGTATTGCGTATCAAATGCAAGCTAAGGTGTACACTAATACATTAGCTTACCTTTTACTCGTAAACGTGTTTAGCTTCTGTCAATTGGCAGTATGCTAACGCCTCAACAATGTTTACATTTAAACCATTGTAGATTGCTAAAAACTGCCATGCTTTTAGTTCATTTGTACTTATATGTTTGGGAAACATTTCTGGACTCTACCTATTTTCCAGGCGTTTGTAAATCAATCATTTCTCCCCGGAAGTACGTCCTACTCCTGCCGGTGTTCTGAGTTGATCTAGGAAGAATCATCGTGTCTGTTTTCACGGTGAAAACAAAAAAATGAAAGAAAAATATGTATTTCGGAGTTTAATTTCATATAAATGTATCTATATGTATATTTTAAAATAATATTTATTCCTAATTTACCAATATCTGAAAGATTGTATGTGCACAATTTTTATTTTTATAATTTCTATTTAAAAAAAATAAAGAAAGAACTTAAACTGATGGTTTAACTTCTTTTTTTTTTACATTTAAATTACTTTTTTTTTTTTTTAAATAATACTTTTTGCCCACCCTTTAAAAGCGATGTATTACATATTTTCTAGGCACATGGTTCCATTTTATAGCAAAATCAAGATACTTTTAGTTATACAAAATACTGTATACAGTATATCAAATATGATAAAGAAATGTGTCTTTGTAATTTCCCCCCTTAAAACCAGGCCTCTGTTTTTTTGTTTTGTTTTGTTTTGTTTTGTTTTGTTTTTCTTGCACTCTTGCACTTTCCGAAAGAGGAAGAGTTGCTGTATGAAAGTCTTTTTCTGAATGATCTGTTTGTCATTGCGGAGATCTTGATCACTGACCTTAACCAAGGCAAGGCTGGTCTGGAGTGCTTCACTGGAGTCCCAAAACCTTAGAAACCTTTTGCTTTATAACTTTCCTTATTGATAGTTATCAATATTTTTTTTTCTATTAAACATGAACATTCTTAAAAATTTTTGGTAAAAGCAATATGAAATAGATTTTTTTTATATAGAAGTAAATGAAATGACATGCTTGAGTTGATTTTAGATAGATGTAAATATAACAGTAAAATCAAATATTTTACTGTCACAAGTATAAAATATCATTTGGAGAAACCATTGCCATCAGAAAAGGAAGAAACAATACTCTAATTTAAACATATTAAATTTAATGCATTAAACAGCCTGGGGAGTTACCTGCATGTTTCTGTTTATTATGAAATAAAATTAATAAATGGGTTTTGAAAAAAAATACATTTAGCCAGCTGAGCTGATTCATACTTCTGGCTATACAGCAACTCGCCTGTCTGGTCTCACTGACTCTCACTATAATTAATCAAAGCCAGTCCTGAAAAGTAATTTCCTCTGGCAAATCACTATATTTTGAAAACCCACCCAATAAGGTTACATAATAAGTTTTTTTCTTGCTCACCCACGTTTGGATTTTAGAAAACACAGCCTGACACCAGGTTGGCTTTAGCGTGCAATCTGATTCACATGTTGATTCTCTGGTTTTACAGCTTTGTTGAAAAGGTGCTGAGGTGCTGCAATGAATGGTGAATTGGAAACTGAAAGTTCTGGCTCTCATGCTCACAGCAAACCAGGGTTTGTCTGCATGTAAACAGGGTAAGAGGTGGTAATATGGCAACTTTTGATCTCTTTGTCTTGAATAAATCTTACTCTTCAGGTGGGGCTTATATTCTACTAATAAACATTCATATTTAAATGAAATGTATGCATACTACTAGAATAAGGCAGGAACAAGTTTGGTCATTTAGGCATTTTCATTAATTAATTTATATATAAGCTATTTGGTGGTGGGGGGAGACTCAGACAAAAACGTTCAGTCAGTTGCACCCTAAATTATCTGGACTGATACTTTCCTGTATTTTTCACTCCGTCAGTACTTAATAAAATATGGCTGCTCAATGTAGCTGAATAGTGTTAGCCATGTTTTTTTTTTTTTTTTTTTAGAATTTGGACTGCATTTATTCATCTCCAGAATGATATTCATTTTGGTTGTGTTTGTTATTTGTGGGTCTGCAGGGGAACAGAAGGTGGAGCTCATCCAAGACAATATTTGTGCAAAAAAAAAAAAAAACACTGGTTGCCAGCACTGATTAAAACAGTTAGAAAAAAGTTAATCATGAAGATAATTTCTATGCCAATAAGATGTCATTATAATACCTACAAAAGTGTGGAAAATGTATTAGTTAATAAGTATGAATTAGCCATAATGTGTTTAATTAGCAATAATGTGTTTAATTAGCCATAATGTGGTAGCATTATTTTAAGACATCTTGTTAAATTGTTAAGATATTGCTACCAGACTACACCAGTGGCCAAATTCAAATTAAAGTGCATTTAGAATTTGTAGTAATGAATTCAAACTCATTGGTCAAAATCATCTGGTTTTACTTTCTGTCTTATGTTGTCAACACGTGCAGATAAGAACGCACGTTGTCCCTTGTCAGGCAATCTTTACTAGTACGTGCTGTTTGAGACATTACCAGCATGCCACTGTTTTGATGTTATCCCACAGAGAAATACTGACAACGTTTCTTGGTATTCAAGGCACGGTTGCTGTGGCAACTCGATCGACAGAGCATATTTATTCATGTCTGTGATACAATGTGAGAGGAAAAGCCCTGTTTTCCTGTTAGTGTCATCCTCACTCTGCACTTGTATACATCTTCAGACTTTCGAACACATTTAATTGATACATGCAGAGGGAACATTGCCCATCAAAGGGGCCTGAATAATCCCATTAAGAACAGATTTGTACTCTTACACAAGTAAATAGGTGGACATTTATGGAGTCAATTTAAGATCTTGACAAGAATTTTATTTGATCATTACCATCATCTTGATGGTAATGATCTCAAGATTTTCGGCCTTTGATGAACTTAAAGCTCAACCATTATCAGCTGTATTTAGTTTTTAGATATGTACCCTTAATCTTGGTGTGACTGTGCTCTTGTGGTCAAATATATACACAAAAAATATATTCTACTAACTTTCTCTTAGATATTTCACTATGGTATAAGCTATGTCTTATATTTGTTGCTCTATTTTTCTATACCTATTCCAAACCGGTTGTATAATCCTTCCAATTTGTTTAAACTCATTTCTTCCCCAGCAGGGGGCAGTGGAAACAAGATGTGGCTATTGTTAAACTGGGAAGTTATTTACAAGTATTGATTATGAACTGGGAAGTTTATTGTTTAATTTTCTTCTTATTTATTTTTCTAAAGTGTACTTACTTATTAACTGCTAAATGCTTTACTCTTATTTACTACTATCAATGTCTGTCAGCTGTAGTACCACAATATTAAGATGTATTTTCTGGCTCTTGATTTAGAAAATATAGGAAGCCGAGAGGAAGGAAAACATGCTGTATCTGTTTTTAATCACTAGTCCCATATAATTATAATTCTGTAATTCTATTCTAAGTTTCCAAAGAAAATTTGATTTTGAGCATTAAATGTCACAATGTTTAATCATTCTCCACCAGAAAACAAGCGAAGCATAAAGTGCTCTCTATGTTTATACATTGCTTTGGAATAAAAGTGTATCAAATGACAATAGATTAATCTGTTCTAAATTTAGACATGTTTTAGTGGGACTATATAGTTTATGGTAGATAGAAGAAGCATTTACAATTCCAGACTGTTTGCATAAAAACATTTTTGACAATTTTAATCACTGTAGGACTGATCCCCAATTTAAACACATTTTCTGTTTTTGGTGTTTTGACCTCTGGCTTTGATATCCATATAAAAGACTCCCTTTCCCCCACAATTTATGTATTTACCTATTCTATGGTGTAACATCCTTCATTTAGAGCTTTGAATGGTGTCATTTCACCTCTGTAGCCCCCTGGCAGATGCATGCCTGTTGCAAATCTAAATGGGATATATTTTAAGATATAACTTGACAAGCTGTGTCATATGCAGGAAGGAGGCACTGTCCATGTGAAAAAGACTCAGTGCTATATTTATGTATAATGAGGAAAAGAGTTATCTGTCTGCTTTCCTTTACCAGATTCTGTGCTATTATTCTAAGTCTTAAACCTTGCCCTTCTTCTTTATCTAAATATACCAAATTATCAGTATAAATATATACCCAGACATTGTCCTTTCCAAAAATGTTGATGGATTAAACTGGACGTCCATATGTGTTTGGACCATAATAACATTACATAGTTGCTGCAGAACTGGGCCAAGACAAACTCCCCCAAATCACCTATGTTGACCATCGATATAAGGCAAGACGTATCTGTGTTTTCTTGTTTGTACATCAAATTCTAAATCTAGCATCTGAACACTGCAGCTGAAATTGAGACCCAACATTTCCAACTTGTTCTGTCCATTATTGGTAGGTATCTGAAACTGCAGCCTTAGTTTCCCGTTCTGCAACGAGTGGCGCTCTTGATCAGTATGGCCTCCTGCGGCTGAACTCCATGTGCTGTGTGTAAATCTGCAGTTTCTGCAGTCATTGAACACATGTGCCTAATAAAGTGATAGAGTATATTTGTAAATTTAGGGCTGCGTTTCTGCCAATCCATCTGAAAAACTGGAACTCTTACTGCAGCTAAGCAACCTTCTGTTCATCCAAGGTTTTTCTGATTGTCAGCAAATGTTGATATAACATCTCTGTGGAGCTCTGCCATTACATGCTTGCACTTTGTAAAATAATATTGTTTGCTAGTTTTCTCCAAAGCTTTATTAAATATATTATATTAACCAAATTAAGTTGAACAATTCTCTTTTTACACTCATTCCTTTGGCTGTTGAAAATATGTCTAGACTATGAGTTTGTTGTATAACTGCTGTTACATGACTCCATTCTAAATAAGGATCTTTCTTCTGCGTTTTCTCACTCTTCTCATACTTGTTGAATTAATATAATTTCATTTGAGATACAATGTCATGAACAAACTAATTTGCCGTTTTTGTTGGCAAAGGATGTTGATGTAAGCAACCTAGACCATAAAATCATCTAAACTGATTATATAGTGGGCAGATGATGCATTTCTAAACAGAAAAGCCCTGTGAAAAGTTGTGTAGATGTTTTCCTTGCATTTTTAGTAGACTGTAAATGCCTTGATGTATAACCTAATTATATTAGGCACGGCATTACA